ATAAATAAATAAAATCTTAAAAAAAAAAAAAAATAAGCTGCCACGGTCCCCAGCCTCCCGTCAGATCCTTCCACCCCCATGGCCCCCGTGGCCTCAGCCTGACCACCTCCCAAGGCCAGCTACCTTACTTCCCATCCTCAGGCCCCACCATCCTTCCGCCTCTGTGCGCCCGTGACCCCCTGCGTGCGGATGGGTCCCAAGACACACGCGGACGCTTGCTGTCACCGGCTTGCCAGCCAGAGCCCGCCCACCAGGTCTGGTGCCCGTCACCATGGTCACTAGCTCGGCCTGGCCCAGGGTAGGGGCAGCAGGCCAGGGAGCCCCCCACTCTCCATTCTAGCCACAGAACTTCCTGCAACAATGGACACCTCCTGCTCTGGCCACGAGAGGAGCCACTGGCCAACTGTGGCCACTGAGCACCTGCAACATGGCTGGTGAGAACCAGGGACTGAGTTTTCATTTTCCTTGATTTAAGTGAAAAAAGACACTTACTACTTACAGTTACCATATTGGATAGAGCTTCTCTAGACCCTCCTCTTAGTAGGGTCCTGAGAGTAGATGTGAAAGGAAAAAATGAAACCCCACAAACTGAGGATGGCCCCACAGTGACACGCCGAGGTCATCTAAGAACAAAAGTTGGTCTTGGAAAGCACCTCTGTGACCCTGTCTGTCCCTTCTTTAAAACTCCCTGGAGGCAATTTTGCCCCTAGGGTTCTTTGATTTTCCTCGTTTCTCTTCTTACCCAAGTTTGGGTCCAAATCCTTTCTTTCTAAGAATGTAGAAGGACTGATAAAAAGCTACTTCTCATTGGGTTGCTAAAAGGTAAATGTGGCTGAAGGTGATTCCCGGCTCCCGTACAGAGGGGAAGGAGACAAGCTGAGGAGAGTAATCAAGTCTTGGGCCTGAAAGACCCTGGGGAGTCAGCAAGGGAGGCCAGGGTGTCCTGCCCTCCAGGCAGATGCCCATGGTTACCCACTCCTGCCCCAGCAGTCCGGCTGCTCCCTGGCCACCCAGGGCTGGCAGGCACCGGAAAGGTGACTCCTCCTGGCTGCCCCCAGTGCTTGACACGACATCCCCATCCACCTGCTCCCTGCAGCCTCAAGGAAGCACGCATCGAGGTCACTGGTACGCTGCCTGCCTGGGACATCCACCCACACGTTACCTGTCACGGATGGGTCAGACAGCATCAGACATTATGGTCCAGTTCTTCTCAACAGCAGTCCCACATTGTCCAAAAGGTCATTCAAGCCCCTCAGGGCCTTTTCTTTCCCTGGACAAGCAGACTGATTTGCTTAGAACTTCCTGCTGGGCCCAGGACGACGGGTTTGCCACAGTCCCCAGTGCTTCCTCCTGCTCAGGCATCTTGGGGCCGGGGGAAGCTTGGGGGAACAGAGTCCACAGTAGGCCTGCTGTGCTCCTTCTCAGCCCACCCTTGCCAGCAGGCAGACCAGGGGAGCTCGGGGGCGCGTGTGGGCTGCAAAGCCCCACAGCTGCCCTGCTTTCCGCCTCCCTGGTGGAGAGAGGTGATGTGCTCAGCCCAGGACAGTGGCAGTTTGCCAGGAGGGGCCAAGCCAGGCACGGGAGCTCCTTCCCAGAGCTGACCCGTTCTAGGCCGAGGCCCGCCTTTCCCTTGGATCTGGGATGGGAGAAGTTAAATCCTTTTCCACTCCCTCAGTCCCCAGGAGAGGCCAGATGTCCAGGTCAAGCCACCTTCTCAAGGTCACTGGCAAGAGTGCCTGGGAATAAATCTTATGAGGCCTTCTACCCCAGGGCAGGAAATCAGTGTAGAGCCAGGAAGCCAGGCCTTAGGGGAGCAGGGCAAATGCAGGGAGATCCACTGTGTTGGGGGAGGGAAGACCACCTCCTCTGCCTGCACTCAACACTGGAGCCGCGGGGCCCATGGTCTTCAGAAGGCGCTGTCCCGGGGATTCTGGAAGCTCCACCAGAGAAAGACAAATATGAGAAGGGATTCCAGCGCAGCCTCAAAGATTTCAGACATGTGGTTTTTCCAGACAGGTCAAGGGCTTCTCCTCTTACGGCCATAAGCCAAGGAAAAGAAGGTCTTAGAGATGGGGGAGGTGGTGCTGGGAGTCAGGGAATTCTTCCGGAGAGGCACAGTGCTGCCTGGGAATTCTACGGACAGACCCAGGGTCCCAGTCCCAACTCCCAGCACCACCGCCAATGGGGGGCCATTCCTCTTGGGGACAATACGCAAGCTGCTACCACTGATGTTTTCATTAATAGTAACGGTTGGAGCTTTCCTGAGCCCTCACAGGTACTCTTGACATGCTTCACCCGCCCCAGCTTGCCTAATCCTCACTACTGCTCCCGGGGTGGGGGGTCTCCCATCTCTCGGCCACCTCAGAACCACTGACCCTCAAGTCCCAGGAATGGACTTGCACCAAGCTGGTCAGTGTTGGCTCCTGATGGTTTCTCAGACGTTCCCAAATGTGAGGCACAAGCTCTCTCAGACCCAACTCAACTCTCCAAGCTCCCCTGACGCCCCTCTTCTACGGGTTCCACCAACAGGATGGAGGCCACGCCTAGCAGTCCCCGCCCTGGTTACACTTCCTCGTAACCAAAACAAACCCCAAGCCAGCCCTCATTCAGATGACGCTGCGATTAGGGAGCAAGGATGTGGAGAGGGGCTGGGGGACCTGGGACCCTGCTCCTGCCAAGTAGGAAGAGGCCCCGCCAGCCACCGGGGCAAGCCTGTGCTGTCTGGAGCACCAGCAGGTGGCCCTTACAGGTCAGGTGCGTGGGGCCTCTGGGACCCCCACCGGTTTTTGCATTTCCTTCCTGGCGGGGGTTGGGCAAGATCAAAGAGGTGAGAGAGGGGCAAGGCTTAGTTAGACCTGGAGGCTGCTGATATCACCAAAAAGCCCAAACCCTGAGGGGGAAACCCATTGCTGCTTTGGGGAGTGACTGTTACTTTGGAGATGGCAGGTAAACTGCCTGTGAAATGTCTGAAATGAACCAAACAGGAAAAAACACAAACACCAGCCCAACAGGCGGCCTGGAGTCATCCCATGCACCCCCTTGTGTCTCACTGTGCCCCCCGGACTCCATGGAAGGCTGCCCTTTCCTAGAACTCCAGGACAGGCTCACATGTTTTCAAACTTCCAACCAGCCCCAACGCTCCTCAAATCTACTCCGAGCTCCTGCTCCAATCCCAACCCACTTCCTCCTGTCTGTGGGGTGGCCACCGCTCCAAGCCCTTCCAGGCGGGGAGCATATCCCTTTTACAACCAGGGTGTGTTCTGCTTAAAAAAGAAAAAAAAAAAATTAAGGTCCACGTCCCCCTGCCAAATCCTGGGTGTGAGCTAAGTGCAAAGTTAAAATTAAACCGAAAATTTGTACTTTGGGTTTAGATTCTCTCCCAACTCCACTGGCCCTTTAAAAATATCTGAATGTGGTTACTCTCTCTCCAGCCCAACAACTGGCTTACTCTGCTGGTGTGTCGGAAGCTTTTCAAACACCCGTGGACAGAACTACATGGGACTCTATGCTTCACTCCTCAGGTGTCACCCCCACGAGGAGGCTGCACATTCATCCTTGGCCCCCACGAGAGGTCAGTGGGGAGGCACTGAAGCTTCCCAAGGAATCAGACTGTCCAGCTCCGGCATTTCCTAAAAAACTTGTCCCCAAAGCAAGGACACAGCAATCATTTCTCACCAATGGGAGCTGAAGCATCCACGATAAACACAAACACATTATTACTCTAAGGAACAACCCGTTGCTTGTTTCAAAACTGTGAAATCTTGTCTTCACAGCTCTCTCAAATTTGATCATTTCCTCTCTATTCTCTACACTGCAGTCCTGGTCACGGTCATCTAAGTCACTCCAAGTCTGCTTCTGCATCCAAATGGGGTCTCTGTGACAGCGGAACTGGACGACTGGAACATTCAAGGAGCGGGCCGGCTGATGCCCCTGACTCGGTCCCCGAGTTCTGAGGCTCTGCCTCTGCGCAAAGGGGATAATGGTATCTGTTTGACCTATGAAGTGCAAACTCCAGCCTAGAAAACCTGCCTCCTGGCTTCCTGCCGCTTGGGGGGTTGGGGTGGGGATTCCAAGTTCCTTAACTGACCTAAGGAGGCCCTCCACTCGCCACCTCTCCCCACCTCCCCCAATCTCAGGGCTCCGCACGCCTCACCCTTGTGCCACAAACAGCATCCAGGCCCCCCCCTCCCCAGGAAGCCTTCCCCCACCCAGCTCTGAGCATCCCAGGGCACCAGCGGCAGCTGCCACATGAATCATTTAATCGTGTATTAAGCATCCGATCCTCCTGGAGGTCAGGGACTGTCCTTCCCCGTAATCAGCCTAGCGGGGAGCGGACACCAGAGCAACTGCTTAACAAATGTCCTGGTTATCGTGCCAGGCACAGCACTAGTTGCTGGGCCT